TTACTGCATTTTGGAATAAACGTATTGTAAACCAGGCAAATTTCCAGTTTCTTGAAAATCGATATTAAAAAAGTAGTCTGGTGGTGACAGGTCTCTGCAGGAGCCAAGATACTCTGGGAAAATGCCCAAGCTCTCTCAGTAGTTTTTGAGTTTTATCCAAGCTCCCAAAGCAGCCTGGTGATATACAAGACACACAGACTGGTTCCCATTGCAGTTCAGATGTCCTGAAGAACAGCCATCCAGAACCTGGGTGGTTTCTCAAACCCATCCTAAATAGCTGCAAATGAGCTGACTCGGGAAGGCTTTTATATAATTCAAAAAATAATGCAGTGAGTGATGAAGTGTAGCATTTACATTTGTATTTTAATACAATACACGGAAGCTCAGTATGTTGAAAATACAAGAATTTCGCCTTTGTTTGAAACATGCACATACATGCGTATGCAGCGCCCAGATTACCATCACATGTTGGGCAGGCAAGCCTAAGCCTTACTTCACATTCTTCTGCCAGTCTTGTGAATGGCAAACTCATCCCTAGTGTCTATGTCTACCACTTCTCTTTTTTCAATATGTGTATTTTATTCCTGGTGAGAAGGAAATGAAACTAAAACTTGCATCTCTTCCCATTCTGTGCCTATTGGTTGACTGTGACTTTTACTCAGGATTTTCAAGGTGGGAGGTTCAGAGATGATTGATGCGTGTTCCACCAGTAGAGTGCACACCAGGTACTGGATACCAGGCATCAATGAAAATGTTCAGTTGGATATATTCACCTGTAAAAGTACACATACGACCCTACCTAGTGCTATCATGTGCCCTGCAGAAATGTTTCACAGGTACAAGCACACAATGTGTGTGCACCCAGCAGTCCCAGGCAGATGTGTGAGCAGCTCCTTCCATAGGTTCCTCCACCACATGCCTCCAACCTCCTCTGGCAAAACCAGTCCCACCTCATGAGGGTCTGTGTATTTTGCCTACCTTTCTCAGTTCAGTCATGATCGCTCAGGCTTTTTGAGCGCTGACTAGTCACAAAACTTAAGTCTGTAATGAACACCTCACTATACTAAATGTTCTCCACCATAGTTCACATTTCTCCAAAAAGACATTTTTTTCCTCACTTCTCCTTCCCCGTTTTACTCTCTTCAACCTCATTCATTTTTCCCGTTTCCTTCATTATCATTTACTTCAGCTGTCCTCCACGGATGAGGAAAAAGTCTCCTTGAATGAGCTTCTGATGAGACCTTATGTTTTTAGATACCATCACCACTACCCTCTCCATCTTCCAAGGGCAGAGTTGCTGTAAATCAAAGAATATGCCACAGACATTATTTACTTTTCTAGAAAGGTCTTCATTTTGGTGCAAATCTCTTCTCTGCATCTGGCTTTACTAGAACATTGCATTCCTCCATTTCTTTCAGTATCCGTAGTCATTTATATTACCTTCCAAAAAGTAATTATTTGGAACCAGTTAAGCCTGTATATGAATTCTGCCTTTGTTTAAAACACATTGTACATATGTATATATTTAGACTGTCATTAAATATTTAAGAGGTTGTCTTCAAACTTCAGCAGTAGCAGTGTTTATTCACTTAACCCTTTGTGAAACTGAAAGCTTGAGGCTGAAATCCTATTGTGGAGGAATTCAGAAAGCCCAGCTGCCCTAGTGCCGGGTGACAAAGGCCAACTTTGACAACCAAGGACATCGCAAAGCAACCAGAGGTTTTCTTTGTTTTCCTTTATATCCTGTTTGCTAGTGGTCTAATCATGATAATGTAATTCATTTTAGTCTGCATTAACTTTATCTGCTGAGATGCATAACTAGGATGCAAATTAATTAGCTGTGACATACAGATGGATCTTTCAATACAATTCACAGAGTCAAATACACACATGCCCAGCCCTCCTTCCCCCAAGTAAAGTAAGACATTCTACACGTTCTTCCACAGGTCAAGAAGTCATCTTTGTTGGTATCTTCAACCTCCTAGAGAGGAAACACCACATCCTGCAGACAGGTGGACCTCATGCAAATACAACCCCAAATACTCTGTCATAGATGAAACCCCATCACAAGTAACTTGCAACGTGTGCAAGCTTAACACAACATAACGCCACCACCCTGTTGACATGAGGTTAGCATGTTTTAAAATCTGGTCACCTAATTTACCCGACTTGGCAAGGCCTCTACCTAGAGTAAATCATTCATATTTCACCCTGAAAAGGACTGGTATCTCAGGGCCAGTTCCCCATGGCCAGGGCACCCACACTCTTGTCCTTCACATGAAGTGAAATGGTGTAAAGATCACAGCAGAGGATGGGAAAACAGGCACAGAAAACCAAAATATGCAACTCCCAACTCTATACAGATATGCAAATAGATGTATCCTGGAGAGTATGTTTTTTCTTCTTTTTGATTAAAACCTTGAGGATGCATTGTTGAATCCAAGCCCAAAATGCCTCACAAGAGTCCCTCTGTGTGCAGTTTTCAAGGCCCAGACATATTTAGAGACATTTCTTTTCCCAGCAACTACAGCCTCGTTGATCATCAGATGCTGCGAAAGGACAGCAGCATCTGACAGTTGTCCAGGATGGACAACGGAGTCCCTCCTACAGCTTTCACACCTGGGTTACAGATCAGCACAGAAGCATTTCAACCGCCTGGCTGCATTATCCTACCTTGAGGATGTGACCCTGTCACATTTTATAAAGGGAGTGAGGCATGGTCCCTATTTGCACAGAGGAGCCAGAGGCCACGGAGGACATGGTGCTGGGAGATCACCAGATGGCATACTTTGCTGTGCATAGGCACCAAAGCAGGAGTGTGAAGGGGCAGCAGCAAGCTCTGGCAGGTGCGCTCACTCCGGTAAGATGCTGGGTCAAAGAGCTTCAGCATTTGCAGTTGTTCAGCAGAGCAAAGCCCATTCACCTCAGCAGCTCAACCACAGATTCAGCCTGCCTCGGTTCTTAAGAGTAATCTTGTTTTCTTGTCAACATCTTTTTTTAGTTCCTGTCTTTTAACAGCAGCATTGCAACAAATGTTGAAGCCTCTCCACACTACCTCAGATACGGCCACATGTTAGCAGCAAGTCCACTTTTTGTATGAACAGCACAGCAAACCAGTTGGGTTCATGCTATTGTATCCCCTGAGGGTTGTTATGTACACCTCTCACTACAAAATAAGTGGCAAAGACACTTTGGGAGGAGCAGAACTCACAGGGAGAGGTCTATTTTTTATTAGACCAAATGGCATAGCTGTAAAAAAATTGACTCACTCAAACCACAGGCGGGTATGTTTGCTTTTATGACACCTTGACAGCACACATGGTATACTGTGCAGCAAATAACCAGGACTTTTCCCATCTCTAAATTAGCTCCAGTGCTGAGATCTAAAAACCAAAAACCAGCACAGCCTGCAAAGCTGCAATTGCCAGGTCTCCCTTTTTCCCCACAAAAAAATATTCCCTGAAGGAGATCACAAACCAAAGGGACTCCTGGGTGACAAATCATGAGCTTAGCTTAGTATCTCTACTGATCACCCGTCACTGCCGCTGTATCGTTTCCACGTGCATCGTTTTGCCATTCACCCATCAGTTTCCTGAAAGTGAATGGGATTAAAAGTCCACTGACTGTTTGCACTGCTGTTTCCTCCCCCTCTGCAGCAGAATTACAGTAACCGAAAGGTGAGCAGAGTTCACACAGGCACACGCAGGCTTCCTGGCTTGCAGTGCTGACCTTCCCCATCTTTCCCAAATCCCTGGGGATAGTTTCAGTGCAGAAGCAGGCAGCCAGTCGGAAATTTTCATCAGTATTAATGCCAACGTAGTTTCTTCCTAACTGCTCTCCAGAAGTATTTTTCCACCCAGGTTCCCTTGTGCACCACAAAACCCTCCAGCTGTTGGCAGCTCCGGGTGCAGCTCCACTGCTGTACACCCAGTGCTGTACAGCTGGTCTGCTTTAATTCAGCGTCTAATTCCTGCTACCCAGGAAACATTCTCATGTGAAAAACTTCATATATATAGGCACCTACTCTGCAGTAAGAATAGTGGTGGTCGGCATTTAAATGAACTAATCAGTTGCAAACGGCTTAGTCAGCATCGCAGTCCTGGAGGTAATTCCCAGGAAGCGATTTTCCCGGTAGCTATATATACAAACGCGAAAAGCAAACTGGAATACAAGGGCAACAGCACAGCGAGACAAAATCTGGCTAAACTGTAACATTACCAACAAATAAAAATAAAAGTCGGGAAAAGTCAAGGAACCGAGCAAGCACAGGATGTGCTCGCATCACTGGTGTATCCTCTCACACGTAAAAGACAAAAACTCGGACACAGGACGTGAACACAGTCAGCATTTCTTTTTCCTCCTTTCTTTACTGATGTTGCGCTAGTTTGAACCGAGGGGAAAAATACGGCTAGGCAAGTTCCTGGCTTGTCTGGGGAGACACACAAACACCAGCCAGACGCCGGGCAGTGCTTTTTGGAGAGAGCATCTCAGTCATCGCCCTCAGTAACCAACCCTCTGCAGGAGCCAGGGTCACACACGACCTGGAGAGGGCTGAGGAATCGTACAAACTTTGTTTCAGGGCAGAGAGGGCACAGGGCATCTAAGAGGCGCTGGGAAGACAAAGGGTAGTGCCAAGTGCCAGTGCATCCTCCAGCAGCATCTCCGCCGCTGGCCACGTTTGGAAAGCCAGCGGGCTGCGGATGCAGGTCATCAGTCCCTGGGCAAGCAACGCCACGGTTGCAGGACACCGCATCGCCCTTCAGTGCCTCCCCGCCGGCTCCCCCGGCCAAGGCAGCACCGAGCCAGCCGGCAGCATCACGGGGGACAGGGGAAGCCACCGACCTGCCCAAAGGAGAGCTGGAGGCTTTCCTCTGGCCACTGAATGCGCATCGGTACACATCTGCTCACATCTGCCCGGTGGCAGGGGCTGCCTGCAGAGCCGGGCACGCCGGCATGTCCCTGGGGACACAAGCACAGGGAAAGGGGCACCGCTCACTTACTTTTCGTATTCGGCGTTGTCTCGATCGCAGCGCGAATCCTTGTGCTTTTGCCAGTCTTTGCCATGCTTGCAGGTGGTCAGGAGGACAACATCCTCTCCGTTATGGACGTGATATAAGGCATTCCTGGTGTCTGACCCTATCCCCGTCAGGTACCTTTTCCCCTTGAATACCAACATGTACTTCCTGAGAGGAGGGATGGTGTTAAACCTTAAAAATCCCTTCTCCCCTCCTGTCCTAGGATGATCCTTAGAAAAGAGTGGGATAGAAACGTCAAAGTTGGGTCTGAAGTTTTCAGTACTGATGCTGGCTTTGGCCAGCATGGCCTGGCCAATGTCGAACCCCACATCCTCGGTGTAGTCGGGCCAGGTGCCGGAGTATAAATTAAAAATCAGGTGGTTTCTGCCGTTGTTCCACAGGTGGAGGCTCTGTACCTTGGAGCGGAGGTTGTGCACGTACTGGGGGGAGAGCTGGTCCCGGTCCAGCGTGTCCAGGCTGAGGACGAAGAGGCAGGCCTGCCCGGGGTCCGAGGTGTAGAAGCGGGAGCCCTCGATAGCGGCCAGGACGTTCTGGTAGCTCTCGGCGATCTTCTCTCCC